GTTTGTTTTTTTGTTTGTTTGTTTTTGTTGTGATCCAAAGGAATGCCCACCGCTTTCAGCTGGATTACAGGCTCAGCACTTGGCAGCTGCCCGGTCTGTTTTGTGCCATGATGAACCTGCTAAATTTAACATTTGGAATATTTTAGCCAAGGACTTTTCCCCTGACCAGTGGAACGCTTTTTTTAAAGTTTCTTTCAGAGCCCAGGTTACTCTATACTGATTGAAAACTCGGCAGATTTTGTTTCTTTGATGTGTGCGTGTGTGCGTGTGTGTGTGTGTGTGTGTGAGAGAGAGAGAGAGAGAGAGAGAGAGAGAGAGAGATCCCTGTGGCCTCCATCTTGCATGTATGTGTTTTTAGTGTTTAATTTGGGATATTTTTGAGCTTCCACATAAAACGATGACTGCAGTCTTGCCTCTGGGTTAACCAGAGTCAGTGAAGCAAATTGATGTTGGAAGTTTCCGTGTCTCCCTGTATATGTTGAGTCTGTATGTGTTGAGTATTTTCAAGCGCATGGTCACATTTTTCTTCTGCAGGAATCCCAGGTGATAGATTTTAGTGCTTTTCTATAAATAATTCACATGGCTTGTCTTTACATATAGGTGCTACTGTTTTACTTAAATATCCGTGTGTTAAGTACTTTCTCCTCTGCCTTATTTAGTAGGAGTATGTATGTATGTATGTCTTTTGTCTTTTTCAGTTACAGTTTACATTTAATATTACTTTGTCTTACTTCCGGGTGTTACAGCATACTGGTTAGACAGTCGTGTACTTTACAGAGGGTCCCCCGATATTTCCAGTACTATTTGCCCCCCACAGGAGGAGGGCGTCCTAGCGTCTCTCCTGTTTGGTCCCGCTCACATTTTGTAGCTTAATAAACGTTGGATAGATGGACGGACAGAGGGATAGTCATGGTCGTTTTCCTTAAGCGTGTATTGAATTTCTAGTTACATCATAACCTTTGTTCTGCTTGACTTTCCTGGGGTTGGCATGTTTTCCTTTATTATCTGACTCTGGTGGAAACAAGAAAACTCTTCCAAAATGAAGATAGGAGAGTTCTCTGATCAAAATAAATGTCCATTTTTAACTTCAAGCAACGTTTTCTATTTCCAGCTCTCCTGTGGTTTTCTTCACGTTAGTAGAAATCCTCCGGGTGGTTGGAAACCCCATCCTGGGGGTGAGGAGGGAAACTGGACTTCAAGTGCCCATTCTGAGAAGGTCCTACATTACTGGCCTTCTCACCTCGCAGTTTACTTTTCAAAAATGAAAAAGCACTCGAATATTCCCAGGCTTTAAATAATCTCTTCAATCAGGATTTTTCACGAAGTGTTCTGGGTAGAACAGAGGGTTTCACATTTCCTGCCAATTTCTCTAGGAACTCATGGTCGTTGTTAAATGTCTGTAAAGGTCTGTGGGACTTGGAGGGAAGCCCTTCCAATGGTCTAAAATTGCAACAGCTGGGACTGGCGGGTACTTTGGCTCCTTCTCTTAACTTTACTCCTTGGTGGTGGGAAACCCCATTTGCCCCGACGTGTAAGCAAGTTAATAGCACCGTTGGTTGGAGATCCGGTCGTTTTCCTCCATGTCTAAGAGCATTGCTGTGTGCAGATCCAGAGGTTGGCCACTGCTGACAGCCGCTCTCTCCTTCCCACAGCCAGTGGTTCAGCGTGCTGAGTCAGGTCCACGCGTCCACGGACCAGGAGATCCGGGAGATGCACGATGAGCAGGCAAACCCGCAGAATGCCGTGGTGAGTGACCATCCGTGGGGTGGAGGTGATGCCCCGTGGGAGGCGAGGGAGCTGGGAATTTCTAGGCAATCTTTATTTTTAAAGGGACAGTATAGTAATTAAAGATTAAAACAGGAATATTCTGGCTAAAAAATTATACAACATAAGAACAGAATAAATTATATATTAGAAGTAGTAACAAACCATTAAAAGAACAAAACAAAAAAATCCCAATTTTTACCAAATCATGGGAGCACAGTACACTTTTCTTACCAGGACTTAGTGGATTTTGAATGGCATTCTGTCTTCGTCTGTCCCAGACACATATACAGAACCATAGAAATCTTATTTTAGAAATAAAGTCTTATCTTTTCATAAGAAAAACTTAACATCAAAGTTTCTTAGCAGAATAAATGTAAAATTTAGTGACAGATCTTAGTCTAAATTAGAACACTTGTATTACCGAAAGAAGTTCGTAGACACTCCTCGCTGAAGGCACTTTAAGAAAAAGACAGAAAGCCTGACCGGTTTGGCTCAGTGGATGGAGCGCCGACCTGCGGACTGAGGGGTCCCGGGTTCGATTCCGGTCAAGGGCATGTACCTTGGTTGAGGGCACATCCCCAGTGGGGAGTGTGCAGGAGGCAGCTGATCGGTGTTTCTCTCTCATTGATGTTTCTAACTCTCTATCCCTCTCCCTTCCTCTCTGAAAAAAAAAAAAAAAAAGAAAGAAAAGAAAAAGACAGAAAGATTAATTTATAATTGTTCTAATGAATGACCTGTGGCATCTGCCCTGCCTGGAAGCTGTCTGTACTCACTAAATACCTTCCTTAGGTAACTATCATGTTGCAGTTAACACAAAAAGGAGCCTTTTGCTGGCCTGCTTGGAGGGTCGTGATCTGGGGGTCTTAAGGTAAAGAGCTCTGTACCTGAATGGTTCTCTCACGCTCTCTACTTTTGCTCCATCTGTTCCAGGGCACGCTGGATGTGGGGCTCATCGATTCCGTGTGCGCCTCCGACAGCCCCGACAGGTGAGCTCAGAAGTGACTTTTAACACAAGTAATTGGTTACCTGCATGCACTCACATCTCTCTCTGCTTTTCTGGGCCACCTTCCTCTGTATGGGGCTGTGAGAATGCTCTAAGCCGCATGTTCCCACCGGGTCAACCTCAGCAATCCACAGTCTTCGTTCCTGGTACCCAGTTTTACATCATCTGAAAGTTTTCCTCTTCGTGTCTCTTTGGGAGTGCTGGGGGAGATAGTGAAAACCTAATGTAGACAGTCCATTAAAACAGTAAAAAACACATGTAGGAGAAATAGTCTTTATTTGGAAACAGCACAAACTCAGGATTCATACAGGAGGAAAATGCCTGTGTAGGAAAACAGTGTTTTTGCATATTATTCCAGAAATGGTATACCTCCCCTTCCTAAACTTAATAATGAATTCAAAAGATTGTTTTTTAATATTTTTATTGATTTCAGAGAGGGAGAGGAACCTGCCACATGTGTGTCAGGCCAGTCAATACCCAGAGCCCACATTCTTACTTTGATGGTGGCATTGCTGCCTCATCAGTGTCTGTCTGCTCCCAGCCCTTTCACTCCCTCAGGCTGGGCCTATGAACCATGCTTAGAACTTCCATCTGTGCTCCGGTTTTCTCCTCCTCAAATGCCCACCTTTCTCCCTTCCCAACTATAGACAAATCTTTGTTGCTGAGGAGCACCTGTCTTTTTCTGCCTGCTACACTCTTGTTAATCTTCCTTTTCCTTGAACTTTCGCTGCACTTAACTACAGTGAACTTGCAAGAGAGGCAGTCATTAGCTGACACGGTTAGATAGAGGAATTGGTATGAGCAAGGACCTGTGAGAGGCTCCAGGCATTGAGGGGAAAAAAATAAATTTCCATTATTATATTACCCCTGACTGGGAAATGAGCCCTTGTTAGATTGCTTTGAAAACAGGGCCCAGTGGCTTTTTGTACCCGGCATAATGAAGTGTATCAGATATTCCGTTTACACCTTTTTACTGATCTTCTTCTAGTACTGGTGTCTGACATTTCATTACCGACCCACAGAAATATTATCCAGGGCAGGACCCAGAGGCAGGAAGAAATTTACTTTGGAGAGGCATCAAAACAAAATTTTCCCCCACCGTCACCTTAGGTAGCCTTCCCTGAACCCAGTTGCATCTGGAAAGTTTTGCATGAAGACATGTGTTCCCTTCCAGGGCCCTCAGAATGTGTCGCTCCCAGTGAAAAGGTTAATGATGCATAAAATAAATCCTGCGGAAATGAGCAAGGCTTGCCGTCCTTACCGTAAAATACAAATAGCGCGGCCGTTTCTATCCCCATTGACCCATAAGTCCGGAGAAAGGCATTCGGTCCTGGTTCACTCAGAGGTGATGCTCACCGTCGAGCTAAGAGGCTTTGCTCCCTTCTCGCCCTGTCGCTCAGGCCCAACTCATTTGTGATCATCACGGCCAACCGGGTCCTGCACTGCAACGCCGACACGCCGGAGGAGATGCACCACTGGATCACGCTGCTGCAGCGGTCCAAGGGCGACACCCGGGTGGAGGGCCAGGAATTCATCGTCAGAGGTGACTGCCAGCGACGCGCTCCTTTTCCCCGGACTCCTGCTTTCACGTGCATGGATGTCTGCAGTATTTCCATTTGAACAGCTTTTCCCAGTCATTTACTGGCTAAAAATAAGACAGAAATGATCATGGTCCTTCCTAACAAATCATCTGTAAGCATCGTGCAGATGATTACCTGGTATTTGGCGTTTCTCTTCCTAGCTCTCGATTTACACTCTCCTCTTGCTCTCCAGGGTGGTTGCACAAAGAAGTCAAGAACAGCCCGAAGATGTCTTCGCTGAAGCTGAAGAAGCGGTGGTTTGTGCTCACCCACAACTCCTTGGATTACTACAAGAGCTCGGAGAAGAATGCTCTCAAACTAGGCACCCTGGTCCTCAACAGCCTCTGCTCGGTCGTCCCCCCGGATGAGAAGGTTTTCAAAGAGACAGGTAACTGGGGCCGTGTGCTCACAGCGAGCGGGGCCTGAAACAGCCGCATCAACTCCTGAGAGTTCTGGGTCTGCTCGGAGCAAAGGAATGAGATTCCTACCAAGAGCGTGTGCTTTTTTTCCCCCCCCTCAAAAAGAAGTTCTTTTCTGGCTGACTTATCTTCCGAGGCTGTCTGTGCTTAGCTATGTGAACAGTTAGTATTTAAACCATCGTAAAGAGGTCGTGATTGATGGAGTTGCAGAGTCTTCTAAGGACAGTAGCATGTTAAGCCCATGAAGATTGTCCTACAGGAAGCTTTATTTTTATTTGCTGGAGTTTCGTTGTTTTTATCATTGTGCCACGGGAGTCAGACCGCAATTCTGCCAGTGAATGTAACTTAAATAAAATAGAGGGTAGGCTTAGTTTTTTCTTTTCAGTATTATACAAAATAGCTCTAGGCTTATTTTGATTTTTGTTGCTAGTTGTGATTTTGTGCTCCTTTAAAAATATAGCTATTCCATGTAAAAAATACCAGGATGTTTTTAGTTAGTTACTCTATTCCAAGTTACAGCTTGTTTTGAGCACAGAAATGGCTTACTTATTAGCACAGGTGTCTTCAGGGGAGAGTCTGAGAAGGGAGAAGAGAACAGGGAGGGAGAAGGAGAAAGCTGTGGGCAGTTTTCTCTCTGTTCCAAGAGCCATGAAAGGGGCTTAGTTTATGGATTTTTCATCCAGATCAAATGTTACAATTTGCGCATTTAATTCTGGGTTTATTAGTTTATGTTTGTCTTCCTCTCTCACTGTGAGCTCCTCCTGTCTTTTGGATACCTAGGTACCCAGTGCAGGGCCAGGCACGTGTCCGAGTTCAGCAGTGGTTATTGAATTAAGCAATTAAAGGGGCTCAGGTGGAGATGACGTAGGCTGGACTCCTGGGACTCCGATGCAGGAGCGTGGCCTTGGCCGCAGAGGTCAGCGCTGATGTGTGTGCGATGCGTCTGTTACAGGCTACTGGAACGTCACCGTGTATGGACGCAAGCACTGCTATCGCCTCTACACGAAGCTGCTCAACGAGGCCACCCGGTGGTCCAGCGCCATTCAGAATGTGACGGACACCAAGGCCCCCATCGACACGCCCACCCAGCAGCTGATTCAGGACATCAAGGTAGGGTGGACCCGAGCCCACCCGGTGGTTCAGAGTCGCTCCCAGGTTGTCACCTTTAGGACATCAAGGCATCAGCATTAGTCAGGCTCCATTTTTATTTCGTAATCAGAGCTAACTCTTGGTAAATTTTGTGTTTGCGTAGCCCTGCCTTTAGGAACCTAAATGTGAGATTTTAGGTGAAATTTCATGCTAAAATATTTTATCTTTACGGGGTGTTTGATGTTGCTGCTCAGGCAGACCTGGCTGCTGGCTTCTAGGCAGAGGGACGGTGGTCTGTGGTTTAGAGTTAGGTTCCCCATCACAGTGGCGGGAATTGCGTTGGGAACGACATGCTATGCCAAAGGTGCGACTTCAGCCCTGAGTTGGGGACCTTCTAGGAGTAACACGATAATTCTTCTCTTAACTATGTACAGTGTCTAGACCAGTGATGGCGAACCTATGACACGCGTGTCAGAGGTGACACGCGAACTCATTTTTTTGGTTGATTTTTCTTTGTTAAATGGCATTTAAATATATAAAATAAATATCAAAAATATAAATCTTTGTTTTACTATGGTTGCAAATATCAAAAAATTTCTATATGTGACACGGCACCAGAGTTAAGTTAGGGTTTTTCAAAATGCTGACACGCCGAGCTCAAAAGGTTCGCCATCACTGGTCTAGACCGCACAGGTGGATTCACAGAGAGCCCGGGGTGGTCTAGAAAACTTGGAGACTGTACCAGGGGCCCCCAAACTCACAAAAGCTCCTGTTCCCAGACCAACAGTGATCGTGTTAAGTTGCCATTTCCTGTGTGTAAAGATGAGCTGCTCAGTAAGTGTGTGTTGAATGAATAAACACACAATTAAATGGCCGTCATGCATGAGGATTACTGCGCTTTTCGTCCTGGGAGGGAGACAGACATGGGGTATTCAGGTTGCATTGCTCACCCAGCTGGTCCCTGGTGCAGAGCCAGGTCAAAGAATTATTTTTACTGCTGTTCCTCCATGTTGTCCATGCAGACAAATTCCCAACACAAAGGAAAGAGCTGGAGCTGATTCTAAAATGACAGTGAGACGGGTATTTATTTACTGATTAGCTGGCCCGGCTGGAGTAGCTCAGTTGGTTGAGCTTCATGCAAGTGCACCAAAAGGTTGCCAGTTTGATTCTGGGTCAGGGCACATAACTGGGTTGCGATTTCAATCCCCGGTCAGAGCACGTATGGAAGGCAGCCAGTCAATGTTTCTCTCTCACATCAATGATGTTTCTCTCTCTCCCCCTTCTTCTCTCTAAGCATGTCCTCAAGTGAGGATTTTGAAAACAAGGAAGTTAGCACATTGGATGGAGGAGGCAAACTCAGCCTTTGCACACGTGGAAAAGGGTCTCATGTCAGTAGTATGTTAATGTCCCACCAAATTCAAGTCAGCCTCTTGGTATCAAAGTTATCTGTTTCCTGGGTGTTGGAAGCTAAATTCCACCGATTGTGTTATTATCCAAGACTCTGCAAAGCTTTCTGTGGAGCCCAAGATGCGGGATACTAATAACTTTATTTCTAGCCTTAAAAATTTTTTTTGAAGCTGTCTTTTAGATCGGAGTAAAAAAAAATGCACATATCAGCTGAACTTTCTCTTCCAAGCTTTATCTAGTCGTACAGTCTCTTAATTAATTTGAAATCAGGCATTCAAAGAGTAATAGAATTTTCCAAATGTGAAACCGTGCTTTTCAAAAAACTAGACAAGCTGCCCTAATTAAGTCCATACCACTTTATTTTTAAGTAAGTAAAGTTTTTCCTACTTTTAATCGGGTGTTACTGACAAAGTTTCATAGTGGAAATGGAATTACCAGGGTAGAGCAACTCATTGGCTCTCCTCCAACTCTTCTGTGTATTTAAAGTCATAAAAGTGACTGGCTGTTTCGCATCCCATATGGACATTTTAGGAGCATAAATACATGATGAATTTCTGTGAGCAGATCTCTTAAATTTCAGGAGAGAGAAGGTAGGCACATGGAAAGACAGTCTCGCTACTCCTGTAGCTTTCAGGTAGAGAGAGAATACAAAAGACAAATTAAAGAATTAGCAACATGCATTTTAAAATGAATTATAGGTCAAGATACATGGTTTGGCTAAGGAACAGCTAAATAATTAGCAAGAGAACTTTAAATTTATGTTTTAAGTCTGCATCATTTCAGAGGGAAACTTTTAAATAACATGGGAGCGTATATGTGTATGAAATGAAGAGAAAGAGCGATGTAAGGCAACGTGTGGTTGTGGCTTGTTTGCAGACACAGACTGGGGTCTCTTCGGGCTTCCAGTTACTAATGCTGGGTTTCCACCACCACCCTGGGTGTGGTGGACGGTGTAGACTTTGGAAACACATTGGTGTGTAGGAGAACACAGATGCGATAATGTTTTTGGCTTGCTTTGTTTTCCAGGAGAACTGCCTGAACTCGGACGTCGTGGAGCAGATTTACAAGCGGAACCCCATCCTCCGGCACACCCACCACCCGCTGCACTCCCCACTGCTGCCCCTGCCCTACGGAGACATCAACCTCAACCGTGAGTCCCCGGGCCACCCACTCCAGGCACTGGTCCTGCTTTCCCCCTTAACTCTTTCGCCTCATCAGCATCCCATGGTTGTAGTGGTGCGAGGACTGTGTACTAGAGCAGCGGTTCTCAACCTGTGGGTTGCGACCCCTTTGTCGGTCGAATGACCCTTTCCCAGGGGTCGCCTAAGACCATCCTGCATATCAGATATTTACATTATGATTCATAACAGTAGCAACATTACAGTTATGAAGTAGCAACGAAAATAATTTTATGGTTGGGTCACAACATGAGGAACTGTATTTAAAGGGCCAGAAGGTTGAGAACCACTGTACTAGAGGGAAGAACTTTAAAGGAATCAGAAAATGCCAGCACTCCCATCCACGCACTCAGTCACCTTAAAATCACCAAGAATGGATGCTATAGTCTTCGTTCCGATTATGGAACCAATTGGCAACAGACCAACTTTTTAAGTAAGAATATTGTACGATAAAGTAATTGAATTACATAACAAGACAGTTATCCTATATAATAAAAGGGTAATATGCAAATTGACCCTAACAGCAGAACAACTGGGAATGACTGGTCACTATGACACACACTGACCATCAAGGGGCAGACGTTCAATGCAGGAGCTGCCCCCTGGTGGTCAGTGCACTCCCACAGGGGGAGTTCTGCTTAGCCACAGGCCAGGCTGCCAGCTGCCAGTACAGCAGTGGTGGTGAGAGTCTCTCCCACCTTCTCAGCAGAGCTAAGGATGTCCGACTGCAGCTTAGGCCTGCTCCCCGCTGGCAAGTGCACATCTCCCGAGGGCTCCTGGGCTGCCAGAGAGATGTCTGACTGCCAGCTTAGGCCCAATCCCCCTGGGAGCAGGCCTAAGCTAGCAAGTGGACATCCCTCGAGGGGTCCCAGACTGCGAGAGGGCACAGGCCGGGCTGAAGGACCCCCCCGATTGCACAAATTTTTGTGCACCTGGCCTCTAGTGTAGTTATATAATTCATAAGCAGTTATGACTTACAGAACATAACTTGCCCCTGTAGTTTTTATTATTATTATTGATTTTAGAGAAAGGGAGAGACAGAGACAGAGACAGAGACAGACATTGATCATTTGCCTCCTGCACATGCCCCAACCAGGGATCGACCTGCAACCTGGGTCGAACG